AACTTGGTCGAGTGTTGTATAAGTCAGACAAGTCCGTTGTTTATCAAGTAACTCTTTTTTTGTTATCTTTGCATCATGATAATATTTCACTCTCTTTTTGCCTCTTGTTTGTTTTCGTTTTTCTTTTTGAATAGTTGTTATCTACACACTCTATTTGGAAGGACTACACGTGGTGACAATAAAATATTCAAGATAAAGAACACAAGCGCATTAGTCGTCAACAAAAAAATATTTGTACAAAGAAATTCAGTTCATAAAAAGTGTATACACCAATATTTATTTCTGTACAATGTGCAATAGCTGACATCATTCAATAATGAACAATAACTAATGAAGATGAACTTTAAGAAAAACCTATAAGAAAATCTTATTATAGACAACAATCAGACTACGATTATTTTAAAAATGATTTCATATTTTATGTCATTCTTGGGTAGATGAGACTTATATGATTATAAACAACAGACAACTTTTCTGTAAGTTGATAAGAAAAAGTGATCATTTTCAATATAATTATTAGTTTTTGAATTCAATTCATATTTTTCTTCAATGAAAAAAAAGAAACGACTGGATAAGCTTTCATTGGTGTTCATGCGAATTTGAACTGCGAAATATTCTTTATATTATTAAAAGAGCATTTTCAAAGAAACTCGATTCGTTTGAGGCGTAATCTTTAAGAGAACAACTAATCTTTTAAGGTTCAAATTGAATATAAAACTCGAAATTAAGACTATGCCATTCAGAGTTTCAGTGGCTATAATAAAGATTTTTTTAAGAGTATATTTGTGGGTGGGTATACGAAAATTGGTCGAACGAAAAAAGATAGAACGAAAATTCGCCGCCGATAATTGATCGCTACGAAAATTGGTCGCTACGAAAATTGATCGCTACGAAAATTGGTTGATATGAAAATTAGTCGCTATGTAAAATAGTCGACACATTCATGACTAATTGAAAAAAACTATTTGAAAGTGAAACTTTTAGAGACGAAAAAATCAAATAATGATAAAAAAGTGACAAAAGTGATAATAAGCCAATTCTCTATATTATCACAAATTACGGATTTTTTTTTCTGAATTATATTCATCAATATGGGATTTTAATTACCTCAAGAAAAAATATATTCTCTTAATAAGGCATTTTATTATAAGCTTAATTTCTTTCTGATTAGATTAGGATTATGAGTAGGTTATATAACACAAAATATTATAATATTTCACCTTTCTTTTCGCTAAAATGTCAACATTTGTACTAAGCAAAACTCAAAGAAACAAACCTTTATTACTCTCTAATGGCTTCAGCTATACTATCGACAAAAGAACTGATGAAAAAATTTATTGGAAATGCGAATCTGCACAATCATTTAAATGCATAGGTCGAATTCATACTAATTCTCTTAGTACTATTATATTACATGAAACTAAAAATCATAATCATCTTGGAAATGCCGTTTTAAGTGAAATTAGAATATTTGAAGAAAAAATTCGTGATCGTGCTATTAATTATAATGAATCTACACAAACTGTTATTGATAATTGTTTAATGAATTTATCGGATAATGCTGTAGCACGTATTCCAAAGTTTAAACATATTAAGAATTGTGAACGTTGATAAGAATTTATACATTTTTTGCACCACTTTTAAATTCATATTTATTTCATTTTTTTTTTGTATCTATCTTGCTAATATTTATTCAATAATTTGTTTTGTTTAACTTTCTTTCATTAACATAATTATTGTTAGTTTCGTATTCTCATTATAAGTTTGTCGACTAATATTTGTATCAACCAATTTTCGTAGCGATCAATTTTCGTAGCGACCAATTTTCGTAGCGACCAATTTTCGTAGCGACCAATTATCGGCGGCGAATTTTCGTTCTATCATTTTTCGTTCGACCAATTTTCGCTTTCCCTTTGTGGGTATAGTTGTTAGTCTTTTCTTTGCTTACATGCTCTGTCTACTAATGTGTATCTTAGTCTATATAAATTTAATTGTATCTTTAATTTCATTATAACACTTCATTCAAAAAATCATTATTCACGGTGTTTATTTTTATTATTGTTCTCCTAATTGATTATCTTGAGAAAGCCTGATGAGGATGTATTTTCCAATCTTTATTTAAATCTCGTGGCGATAATTGAAAAATTTTAGTTTTATGTCAAAGACGAACTTCACTGTCGATTATCATCATACAATTAAGCATAACTGACAATGTTTTTCTGTATTAGCAATATTCATCAATGACTTAAACAGCAAGTCTTCGATCAACTGTGCATATTTGTAAGAAACTGAAAGAAGAACAAAACTTCAATATGATAATGTTATCTGCTTTTTATAACAAAACAATATTATCAATAGTATTTCAGTTTTATATCCCAGTCACTTAAAATGTGAACCAAAGAAGGGATTAAAAACTAAGTGCAAAATGTACTTGAAAATCGAACACCAGCTCCAACTATATCGGATCTCTTAAATTTAATTCTTTTTTTAATCAGAATGAAATTAAAAACTTCGAAGGTCCTCCACATTTTAAAAACTAACAATTTATATGTCGTTACGGTAGAAAAAAAAAGAGATTTATCTTTATGTATCTCTGCTGTACAGCTTCTCCATTTCTTGTCATCCGAAAATGATTTTAGTCTGTAGATCTGTCAATAAGAAAACAAAGATATAAACATATCATTGAAGAAAAAGAAAGGATTTTATTCATTTCGCTTAGGTTCATTTCGAATAACACAAATAGTATACAGTTGATTGATAGAAGCACAGTTACTATTGTTAGAGAAAAAGAATTAAATCATTTTTTTATCTTGTTCGT